GACTCAGAACTGACCTGCTTTCAGACCTGCCTGTTGTGTATGTGCCTAAGAGAAAGTAAATAAATATGTCTGAGCGCATTAAAAGAAACCTGTCTTTATTGCAATCTCAGAACCCTTTAAATAATACACAGTATCAAAAATGAAAAAAGAACAAGTTCACCATCTACACCTCTTGTTACCAGAGGGCATCGATTAGCAAACAATGAAACAAGTCGCTTTGTATCTCCTAAAATACGATCGAGTGATTGGATAACCTTGTAGTGAACAACGGTGTGGATTTGTGCATTTTATATTGAATTAATTTGGAGCTACTCTAAATTCTAATACTCTAAAAATTAAAAGGGGAGGGGTCAAAGTTGCTTTCTCTAAGTGCTATCCCTGACCATAAAACTGGCACCTTTTTGATTCCGAAGCTGATAACGCGGGGCCTGACTGTTAAACTGACAAAGGGACACGAACCAGCCATTGGCATTTCCCTGAACAGCCTATCAAAACTGACCCCCCTACACATGTTTCCGTGGCAACTAACCTTATTCTTTGTTTTATTACCACATCAAAGGGATACTCCTTGTCTCACCTAGGTGTGACACAATCCAGGAAAGCCGAACTTTCAATGTAAAAGGGACTGCAGTCTCAAAAGACTCTAAGCATTTAATTAAGTTTAATTAAATCTTTAGTTACTTGATTACGTTTGCCTCTATTTGAGTAGTTATGTTAACTGTTTTTGCTATCTGTTGCTGATATTAGTGCTGAAAAGAAAGTTACTTGTGCAGTGTTTTTATTTTCAGCAAGACACTCCTTCATCTAATGTAATCCAAGCTTTCCTCATGTAACCTGAGCTCCGAAATAAGTACGAAATATAAAGTAGTATATAAATATCCTGACCAATAATGTGACAATTGTTTCCTGTTACCAAATGCTTAGAACAGTACAACCGTTCAACCATTGAGGTTCGATTGTGGAAAATATTTGATTATAATACGTGCAAATAGATTTCTTTTTTTTAGACATTAAGTTTAGAGAGGCAGTCCCTTGGGAAACCTGAGACACCCCCTGGGGAACCACGCCCAACCAACCTCGAGCCAACTTCACCGAGGTCAGACCAAGCCACGTGGTCTCGCCAGCTACAACGAAGGAAACCTGAAAACAGCCGAATTGCCAGACGGAGGAGGCGTTTTCAATCGGACACGGAGAACCCTGGAGAATCCCTAGCAAAAAGCCAGGATCGGCAGCTAGCGTGGGACCCGTGCAACAGGCCGAAAGCAGGCTGTCGACAAGCAGTAAGACTTAACACACGTTCTGTGATCAGATGTCCATTTTAACTCCTAAAATCATAGCATTAGTTTACTTTCAGTAGTTCTTCTATGCCGTATGAGTCAAATGCTTCCCACAATCGAACCTCCAGGCTCATTGTTCAGCAAATGTTTATGTTTCCTGTATCCAACCATCTTCTTATCACATTAGTTAGAGAATAAATTCACTGTAATATAATCAAGAGCTGTGTGTGTTGCCTATTTCTACGTCCCTGCCGAGAGAATTGACCCTTTAGATATGAGAATGAGTGACTGATTTAAAATAATTGAGCGATTATTAACTGATCACTAGTAATAATTGTATAATTATTAAAACTACCTAGAGGTCCGGAGACTCTAGGATTATAACAACTCCGGTGGTGCCCTGAAACAAGGAATCTGGTTTGATTTTATGAATAATAAAATTCATAACTGGGTATCAATTCTCATAAATTTATTAAATTGCATAACTAAATTTAGGTTTGCTACAACCTTTTAATGGTATATCGTCAGGTTAAACATAAAAGCTCTATATCATAATGGTTAAATGTAAATGGATTACACGCATAACTACGTAATGATCTCATGATCTACATATCCTACTACAATAAAGGTATTTAGTTATTTGTCCCAAGAATATATTTTCTTGATTACAAACAGACGCTTAAATTTTTAAGACAGACTCTGTCTATGGGATATTTAACATTGCCATGCGTTAATGCCTTAGCATGCGCTAGCTTAACAGCCAAAGATACGGAGACTTTCTTTACAAACAGGCTTGCTGACATAATGTTAACCTGAAAGTTGTCTACAGTGTTGCGCATTAAGCAAAATTCCTTTTTAGCTCTTGTGAATTTTATCTTGAGGTCTACTTCATTTATCATTAACTTGTCTTGAAAAAACTAGTCAGAATGGAAAGGGGATATTAGCTCCACTACGCGGCCGCCTTGTGTGTACTCCATTCTTTTAACTAGTCCCTCATTGAGTCCTCCGGCCGTTGTGTCGTCCATATAACCTGCAGCATCCATGCAGAATAGTCCGGATCCAAACTGTGTCTGCAGAGCATCCTTTCCACAGTTCAAAAGGCATTCTATTGTACCCCTGTAAGGATATGTGTTTGATGATTGCGTTATGAGTCGGTTACCCAACGATATGTCAACCTATGAAAATATTGTACATCCACGGTAGCTGATAAAGCCCACTTCGTCTGCTTAATCCAGGTTTCCGCCGTTAGCTTTGGTGATTTTTATGCGCGTGTACAGAAACATATTGTTTGATGAAAAATTCAAGGTGTGCCGAGTCTGATATCGCTGCTAAAGGAGGGAATTCGACGTAGACGCGTTTCTCAATACATGTTTGTGTTAACTGTTGAAATGATATTGTTGTGAGCCAGGTTCAGGTGTGAAGAGACTGATGAAGACTTAACATAGCATGGTTTATTGAGCCCGGCTGTACCAACACCAAGGATAACATCTTGTGGTCCCTTTTATGTTTCTGTTTTCCCCCTAGTGCCTGTATGTTTCTCTATTAGGTCATCTTTCAGCTAGAACAACTATCTATCTGATGTTTAGACTCCAATGCTTCATCATATTGGAATCTCTCACTATCCATTAGTTGTACTCTAATCTGTGGAGCCAGTTAGTTCTTGTAAACATTCTTATATGGCTCAACCTTGTAAGATTCCCAGAGAACACTGATATCTGCTAGCCTGATGCCTAAGCTACTGTCTCTAACTGATCAGTATATTGTTGTCTTCCTGACAAAGACAAGTACATGTGAGAAATACCTAAAGCTAGAAGGTCAGAAAACACTTATGGGATCAGTTAAATTTCTCTAAGCCAGAGATGTCTCACCTTTCCCTGTTATATCAAAAAAAGTTCCTTAAGAAATATTCTCAACAATGAATGAAACCTAAAATATACTTTTATCCACTAACCAGTTTTTGTAACAACTGTAAAACTGACAAAAACAATGAAGCTCATAAAATAATGAGAGAACTGAACTACTGTCTCTAACTAATCAGTCTATTGTTGTCTTCCTGATGAGGACAAGTACGTGTGATAAATACCTAAAGCAAACACTTATGGGGTCAGCTACATAACTCTAAGCTAGACCTGTCTTAGCTTTCCCTGTTCAATCAACATCAATTAAGACACCTAAGAAATATTCTCAACATTAACGGTACCATAAACAGGTCTAGCTCCGACTTAACGCACGCTTGTGACAGGCTATGTACCAACGACATTCTCGTTAGAAAATGTGTCTTGTCTTCTGACATTTTGTCGACTTGCTTCTCCTTACTTATTTATTTTTTCTAGCTTTAGTATGGGTCTTCTTATTGTTGTTCGGCTATGCCTCTTTGGTAGGAAACCCCCTCTTTTCCCTCGTTTTATTGGTCAGGGAGTCACGGTGTTAGTACTAACATCCGTAGATATGTTTTCAGCAGCTGTCTTTAAATGAGGGGCAACAAATGTAAATCCTTTCTTGAGTAAGGGAAATGCTAGTCTAAAAAGACCCCTAAAGATACCCCCTAACCCTGCACCATACTGAGCACCATGCCCGCTGTATCCTGGTAAATCACCACCCGCTTGGGCTGTATAATATGCAACGTATTTCTCCGCATTGTGAGTATATGGCTGATACATGTTTGGTCCTTGTCTAAAAGAGGTGAGCAGGGGCGAAAGTAGCATTTATCAGAAAAACCTGATTTTAAAAGGGGGGGGAAGCCAAAAGGGGTGATGACCCGCAACCGAAGGGAGCTCTTAATGCTTTCAGGCATGAACGCCGGGTTAGGGCGCAGAACAGCTGAGCTGCCGTCGCCCTTATTCCTGAACCATGCTGGAGCTACAGAGAGGGCAGCCAGATCGGTGACCCTCTTGACCGATGTCAGAGCCAGGAGCAAGGCGACCTTAGGCGAAAGGAATCTCCGGTCCGCCGTCTCCAAAGGCTCAAACAGGGCTTGGGTTAAGGAAAACCAGCGCCAAATCCCACTGTGGGGCAACAGGCCACATCACCGGCCTGCGCCTCCGCACACCCCTAAGGAAACGCTTCACCATGGGGTGGGAGAACACAGTGCTGTCCCCGAAGCCTTCGTGACAGGACGAAATGGCGGCAATGTAGGTTTTAACCGTACTAAATCGCAGCCCCCTGTCAGTGAGCAACTGGAGGAACAAAAGCACTGCCGGCAGAGGACAGGCGACCAGGTCCGTCCCCTGGTCCAGACACCAGCGTTGGAAGGCCAACCACTGAGAGGAGTAAGAGGACTGTGTGGAGGCGGCTCTCGACCCATACAGCATGTGGTGCGAACCACCTCACGGGAGAGACCTAAGCCCTCCAGGAGTTGCCTCTCAGTGGCCAGAACCGGAGAGGCTGGCACTCCGGGGCCACCAGAATCACCGCCAAGGTTGAAAAATGCAGGCAATCAAGAAGGCGCGAGATCAGCCGTACCGGTGGAAAAGCATCCAGCAGCTGGGGAGGCAAAGTGAGTGAAGGCGTCCACTCGCAGCGGGAGGATGTCCCGTGGGCTCAATGAAAACCAAAGGACGCACTGAGCATTCAGCTTGTTGGCAAACAGATCCACCTCTGCCCTGCAGAACCGGAGCCAGATCTGGTCCACCAGATCGGGATGGAGGCGCCACGCGTCTGGGCGAGGGCCTCCCCTCGACATGATGTTCAGCACAGAGGGGCCTCCCAGATACACTCGCGGGTCTACAGCCAGTCCGCGTCCCTGACGCCGGAGAAAGGGAGGCAGAGGAAGGACACGGTCGCCTCAAGGTCCACACAAGGTGGGACTACCACGCTTGTGGGCTCATAGCCATGCCGCTCCCCTGGAGGGGTGGAGGCAGGCGACAGGGAAGGGGGTCTGCTCGTGACCGCAGAGCCAGAAAGTGTGACGGCTGCCTGGCTGGCCGCAGCTGTACCATGTAATGTGGGAGAAACAAGCTGAGCGGTGCCTCTGTGGAGCCAGTGGGCAGCCAGGGTGAAGGGGGAGGGCTACTTGTGACGTAGGAGCCAGGCTGCATGAAGGCCGTCTGGCCAGCTGCAGCTGGTCCGTGTAGTGTGGCGGAAATGTGTGAAAAGGCGGCCACTGACTCGGCAGAGACAGCAGCGGGCGCAGGAAAAAGCTCTTCAGGGCTCTGTTTGTGTTTTATTTCAAAACAGTTTGGATTTCGAACAAAAGTGCAAACAGAACAGGCACAGGAAACACACATTTTCCCCCCAAAATGTCATTGGCGCTTCTCAGCACGGCAAGGCTGCAACCATGAGCAGGCCAAAGCTGGAGCCTTGGGAGGGGCAGGTGCCAGCCGTGGCACTAGCGGTCTCTCTGCCGATCGCGTCGGTCCCACCAATGAGCCAGGGGAAAGGGGACAGGGAGGATGAGAAGGAGGATGAGCCCATCCAACATACTGTCTGATGCCTTCAGCTTCCTGAGCTGCGGACCTCGCAGTGTCGACGAGGGACCGGAACTGAGGCCCGAAAAGCCCATCCGAGCTCACCGGGGCCTCAACCAGCTCCTTCCTCGTGGCCTCTGGGATGACGGACTGCTGGAACCACAGGATCTGGTGGATCTGGGTCTGCCAGACGACCATCCCACAGCTGAGGCAGTGCACTCAGTGAGCTGCGCACTAGCTCCTTTGCTAATCTCCTCTATCTCCTCCTCCGTCATGGTGGTGGAGTTAGCCGCTAGCTTGGTGAAGGAGAATGCGATGAGGGCTACGTTGTTGGCGGAGGCGGAGTTCTAAAAGGAGCACTATTTTTGTCGGTGATGCAGCACAACCACTGTGCTGCCTGGGAGGCCAGGACAGGGCGCCATCCGGGCCCCGCCTGGCCTGTCTTAACTCCGAAGACGGTAGTGAGGGCGGGCTCCAGGGGAAGGACTGGGGGAAAAAACAGATCCGTAAAGCCCTCAACCTTAGTTAACCTAAGTAACAAGTGTTACTTTCGTCCCGACAGAAACATATAAAGACAATTGATTTTTATACTGAAAAACTCTGACAGGGCAAACTTCAGGGTGTGTTAAAGCACTAAACAAAAAAAGCTCAAAAAAAGTTTTCCGAAGACGGCTGCGGGAAACGATGACAAAATCATGTGATACGTGGCAGCTCCATCAAGGGTTGCATGCTGAAGGTGATGTCACAGCTTGGACTGCAAATGGGCTCTGAGAAAATCGGCATGTTACTTTCGTCCCGTGTTACTTTCACCCTTGGTTTACCCCTACTGGTACTTCAAAGGCTGAAAGTGTAGCTTTATTATCACTTTGCTGTACATAAAAGGGATATGCTGATTCTTATCTGATTTGAGGGAAATCTTGATACTATTAATGTGTTTTTTGCATAGCCTCAGGTAGTGTGGTCTGTCATATGTATTTGTGATCATATGGAGTTTTGACCCCGATATATGTACTATTCTTAAAAGAGGGACGTAACTATGCCCTACTGTTTGATGATGAACAATATCTGTGTAAACAAATATATTACACATCCCTACATTAACATCGGCAGGATGTGGTGCCATATATGGCATCTGTGTCAACACTATGTTAGTTTGTGGTTGAGATCTAAATATCGTAATTCCCTCATGAGTTTTAAAAGTCACTTCGGGGATAAATTCCAACATTTGTGCAAGTTTTCCATGACACGTTCATTCTACGTCTCTAGTTGGTAAAATGCTTACTCTGTTGGTAATGTTGTTGTAATCAAGCTCGATATGACCCATTTTGTTTTCAGATAAACAACTGTTTAGTTCAGCTATTATCTGTGACATTGTTGCTGATAGAACTACTCTCCTGTTGGATTTTTTATCAAACACAACAAATTTTGAGTCTTCTGATGAAAAAGATTTCCATGTTATTGGATATTGTATTTCTATCAAACCCACCTCATATGCTGATTTAAAGTGTAGAGGCTTGGATAGTTTTGTTCAGAAGTTATATCACCAGTGCCACCACAGCTGAAATATAAAAAAAACTCCAGGACCTGATGCCATTGCTCCCATCCTCCATCACAAGAGTGATAGTCTATGTGGGAACAAATGACACAGCTCTTCAGCAGTCTGAGCTGACAAAATCAGATTTTAACCGTCTTTTTAACTTTTTAAAGCAGTGTGGAAAGTCCGTTTTTATCTCTGGTTCCATTCCCACAGTTGGTCGCGGTGCTGGCCGCTACAGTAGACTCCTTTGCCTCCACGACTGGCTCCAGTCCGCCTGCAGGGCTCACGATGTGTGTTACGTCGATAACTTTAATATTTTCTGGCAAAAAAAATTTAAGAAAGACAGACTTCACCCAAACAAACAGGTGTCAGAAATGTTAGCAGCTCACATACAGCATGTGGTGCGGTCCTCCACACATGACTTACGTGAATGACTTATCATTCATGCAGCACACCTGGATACAACACCGGTCACTGAACATAACTCTGCCTCACTGCCACAAACAACTGTCTCCACCTGCTGGCATGTAAAGCTGTCTGCTCCCAGCACTGTTCCAAAGACTTCTATTCCTGTCATCATCACGCATAGACCAGTAAACCGAAATGTGCACATCCCACACAGAAATATTAGTAATCTTGTAAGGATTATGACAACTGCACTAACTCCAGCACCCAAAACAAACACATTTAAAATGGCTCTCTTCAATGTGAGATCACTGTCGAGTAAGACTTTTATCTTAAATGATTTTATCTTGTCTGCAAATCTAGATTTTATGTTTTTAACTGAATCCAGGTTGCAAATGAATGACTATAGCCAGCTAGCTGAACTGTGTCCGCCTCAATATGATTGTTTTAGTCAACCGAGGGTCAGTGGTCGTGGTGGTGGGCTAGTGAGCGTGTATAGGAAAAAAGTTAAATGCCATTAAGTACACTGTGATGAATTTAACTCCTTTGAAGTTCTCACTCTTAAACTTGGAGGGCTGTAGCCTGTCATATTTGTTTGAATTTATCGTCCCCCAAAACCGCTTGGAGGATTTTTATCAGAACTTACTGAATTTTTATCTACTCTGGTTTTAAATTATGACAGAATTGTTCTTTGTGGTGATTTTAATATTCATGTTGATGACCCCACCAATGGCAATGCAATTAACTTTTTAAATATGGCCACTTCTTTTAACTTCAAACAACATGTCTAAGGGCAAACACATAACCGTGGTCATACACTGGACTTGGTTTTTACCCTGGGTGTCAGCGTTACCTCTGTGGAATTAGTGGACATGACCATATCTGACCACGGATGTATTGTTTTTAGCTGTTAATCTCCCGTTACTTATGCCGCCTCAACAAGCTCCGTGTGTTCTTGCATCTTTAATGAACAAAGTTTTTCAAAGTTTTGCACATTCTTTCAGAGCCAAAGCCACCACTCTCAAAGTCCATTACCTCAGTCTGAAGGAGTTATTAATTAACTACAATAACATGGTTAAGGATGCGAGAACACACTACTTTTCTAAACTCATTACTACACATAAACACAATCTCAGGTTTCTGTTTAAGACTGTGGATCAGCTGGTAAACCCAACCCCTCCTTGTGCCTCAGCTGGAAGTAATGATGACTGTGAATTGTTTTTATCTTATTTTACCAATAAGGTGGTGTCAATCAGAGCCTCTATTACCCCCGCGGCCTCTTACTCAGAGGTTCCTCACCAGCAACAAGAGAGTTTTAACCAGTTTTATCCCATTGACTTGTCTGAGCTTTAAAAAAAAATTTCACAAATGAGTGTCCTCCAGCCCACTTGATGTAATACCTACAGTAATACCTAAGTTTTTACTGAAAGTAATGGATTCTGTAGGGCCCCATTTGATCTCTGTTTTCGACAGCTCCCTATCTACTGGTTGTGTCCCTGATTATTTTAAAACGGCTTGCGTGAACCCACTTTTAAAGAAACCTGGTTTAGATCCCTCCCTCCCACATAATTTTAGACCAATTTCAAAACTAACTTTTATTGCAAAGATTCTAGAAAGAATTGTGTCCAAACAGGTGCTCACTGTACTGGAAAATAACAAAATATTTGAAAAGTTTCAATCTGGTTTTGGGAAGTACCACAACACTGAGACTGCCCTGCTTAAAGTCACCAATGACCTTTTAATGTCTGCTGATGAAGGTATGTGCTCAGTCCTGGTACTCCTGGACCTTAGCGCTGCTTTTGACACCATTGATCAGGAGTCGGTCTTAGGACCCATTTTGTTTCCCTTGTATCTGCTTCCCCTTGGACATATTATCCATAAACAAGGCATTTCCTTTCTTTTTTATGCTGATGACACAAAAAAATATACTTGCCCGTCAGATCCACAGACCCTGAAATGCTGAGTTCACTTAACAACTGCCTTTGTGAAGTTAAAAAATTGATGTCAAATAATTTCCTCCAGCTGAACTCAGACAAAACAGAAATCCTGGTCATCGGGTCCCAGCAGATGGCAAATCAAATACTGCCATCTGCTGGTTCCCTAGTAAATCACATTAAGCCTGTGGCAAAGAACCTTGGTGTTTGGTTTGATAGAAATATAAATTTTGAGCAGCACACCACAAAGCTTGTTCAATCATGTTTTTATCAACTTAGATCGAATTTTTGCTATATTTCTATGTTAACTTTTAAGGACACCGAGACCATTTTACACGCCTTCATCCCATCACGCCTGGATTATTGCAACAGCCTTTTCACCTGTTTAACCCAAAAATCTATTGATCAACTCCAGACTGTCCAGAACTCAGCTGCCAGGCTTTTAACCAGAACAAAGAAATATGACCACATTACTCCTATTTTAGCTTCATTACACTGGCTCCCAGTATGTTTTACAATTGACTTTAAAATTCTATTGATCACTTTTAAAGCTCTTCATGGCCTCTCGCCTTGTTATATTTCTGACCTTTTAGTCCCATATACACCAGCACGTACCTTGAGATCCTCGGGCAGAGGTCTGTTGTCTGTTCCAGAGTCTCGACTGAACACTAAAGGGGACAGAGCGTTTGCTGTCAGGGCCCCGAGGCTCTGGAACAGCCTGCCCAAGGAAATCAGGTCGGCTGAGTCAGTCCCTTCTTAAAACATATTTTTATAGGAGAGCCTTTCCCGATCATATTTCACTTTATTTTATCCCTTTTATTTTATTGTATTTTACTAATTTTATATTTATCTTAAATGTGTATTTTAGTCTTTTCAATGTTTTCATGCTTTTATCTTGTATTGTTTTTGTATTATTGTCTTTACACTTGTTAAAGCACTTTGTTTTTGAAAAGTGCTCTACAAATAAAGATTATTATTATTATTATTATTATTAACTTTTACAATAAATCATATCTTTAGCATGCTTGTGCCTGTTGTGTCTCACCTCCTTTTTGTCACAGTTTAAGAGCTGGCTTGTGACAGTTAATAATATTAATAATAAATTACATTTATATAGCACTTTTCTAAATACTCAAAGACACTTCACAGTGGGAAGATAAAAATAATTAGTTGAAAAGAACATTGACGGGAGAGAAGGGAACGAAGTTAACTGGGGAATGTAGACTTGAAAAGGTGGGTTTTGAGGGCTTGTTTCAAAGGTGGCATAAAGTTAGCTTGTTGGATGTGGCTAGGGAGGGCGTTCAGAGGAAGGGTCCAAAAACTGAAAGGCCATCTATCTCCACCCTGATTGCAATCTACTTATCAACTGCTCGCTCAAAAACTCTCCTGCCCCTCATCGCTAGATTGCTCCGTCTACTCAGTGGTAAAGTTACTCTCAGCCAAACTTCTCTATCGTGAAGTCTCTAGTGTGTTTTGTGACTTTTTCCATCATGTTTTGCCCTCAAGCCATCAATCACTTGCTGCTTCTGCTCGTACCAATCTAGTAGCAAGAAGCAATCGCCTTTAATCAAAATTAAGTTTCAGACACAAAATGATAGGTGTTTCAATTTTACAAGAGTTGTACAAGGTTAAACATGCCCTGATACATTTTCTGTTTACTCATCAAAAACATCACACTAGACTCAATTTAAATTCACAAAATAATTTGCATTCTGATCATTGTAAAGTTTCTGATAGAAATTATACAAACCACAATAGTCTCACAGAATATAGCTATACGTGATTACATAAATACAATGTGTACACTAAATGAAACCTAAACATGAATTTCACATGCTTTTGAAAGTTACAGAAAGGTTTAGATAATTTGAAGGTCAGAGTAAAACAACACCATTTTGAATCATCTTTGCTTGTAAAATGACCTGTGTTGATGACAACTAACTTCACAGACATCTCACATTTGAATTTCTCAATCTGCACGTTTCAAAATAAAATGCATTCAGACAATGGTGAAGGTGATTTTACTTTCCAGTGTGGCTGATTTTACTTGTTTAACATGACCTAAGAACAGAATTAGTACTGAAAGTTAAATATTGCTATAGCACAGTGCTCAGAGAAGTGGTTGCCTCAGTAGTTGTTGTCGGGGCAGGTGTCATGGTTGCCTCAGTAGTTGTTGTCGTGGCAGGTGTCGTGGTTGCCTCAGTAGTTGTTGTCGGGGCAGGTGTCGTGGTTGCCTCAGTAGTTGTTGTCGGGGCAGGTGTCGTGGTTGCCTCAGTAGTTGTTGTCGGTTCAGGTGTCGTGGTTGCCTCAGTAGTTGTTGTCGGGGCAGGTGTCGTGGTTGCCTCAGTAGTTGTTGTCGGGGCAGGTGTCGTTGTTGACTCAGTTGTTGGAGCAGGTGTCGTTGGAGCACGCGTTGTTGTTTTTGCAGTTGTCGGAGCACGCGTTGTTGTTTTTGCAGTTGTCGGAGCACGTGTTGTTTTTTTTGCTGTTGTTGTCGGAGCACGTGTTGTTTTTTTTGTAGTTTTTGTCGGAGCACGTGTTGTTTTTTTTGTAGTTGTCGGAGCACGGGTTGTTGTTTTTGCAATCGTTGTCGGAGCACGGGTTGTTGTTTTTGCAATTGTTGTCGGAGCACGTGTTGTTTCCTCAGTTGTTGGAGCAGGTGTCGTTGCCTCAGTTGTTGTTGGGGCAGGTGTCGTTGTTGCCTCAGTTGTCAGAGCAGGTGTCGTTGTTGCCTCAGTTGTTGGAGCAGGTGTTGTTGTTGCCTCAGTTGTCGGAGCAGGTGTTGTTGCTTCAGTTGTTGGAGCAGGTGTCGTTGTTGCCTCAGTTGTTGGAGCAGGTGTCGTTGTTGCTTCGGTTGTCGGGGAGGGTGTCGTTGTTGCTTCGGTTGTCGGGGCGGGTGTTGTTGCCTCAGTTGTTGGAGCAGGTGTCGTGGTTGACTCAGTTGTTGGAGCAGGTGTCGTTGTTGCCTCAGTTGTTGGAGCAGGTGTCGTTGTTGCCTCAGTTGTTGGAGCAGGTGTCGTTGTTGCCTCAGATGTGGGAGCAGGTACATCAGAATATAGGGTGCCATTCACTTTGATTGAGCTACTTTCAATGTCGAAGCCAGTGACGTTTAAACTATCATTGATCAAAACCATCCCAATCTCAAAATTATTAGGAACAGATGTGCTTGCAAAGAGAAGGTTCACGTCATTGATGACTGATCCATTTCTGCAGATGGAGAAACAAAATATCTTTGAAATATCACATTTTGGTCACTACTCTTAAAATTTAACATGATAAGTCTTAACAAATTACCTGAATGACACCACGTCCAGGGACAAGAAGGAGGAAGGGAAAGCCGTGTGGAACACAGGTTCAAGCTGCAGAAACAGAAAACAAATCGTACTTCAACACATTTCACATATATGTTTGCCCAAGTTGTACAGTGAGCTGGAGGTGTAGTTTAGTTATCTTCTTAATTTCATGTAATAATTACTATTATTATTCTGCAGCAGCAGCAGCACTTATGTACCTGTATTTTCATCAGGAAATGCAAATATTCCAGTTTATCATTATATTTCCTTATTTTACAGTTTTTTCTTTTTCTTTTGTTTTCTGTACTTTCTTTAGTGCATAAATATAACTGTGTCCAGGAGACCGACAGACAGGAGGAAAACTAATGATGAGAACCACCACAGGATTAAAAAAATAATAGATGACCTATACATTTTTTGCAGTAACATTAAGTGTCTTCACGTGTATTTCTGGGCAGTGTGCACATTTTTTCAACTGGTATGCGATTCCTTTCTATGTGGCGAATTTCTGCTTGGGGAATTGACCATTCACTAGCTGTGTTTCAATTCTACGTACTGTATGTTTTATTGTATACAGTACAAGTATTGAAGTTAAGCATGCCTTAATGCTTATTTTTGAAGGTTATTGATACTTTATGAAACTTAGCTCTAATCTAATTCTGCTGTCTGAATGAAGTTTTAATAAACAATTTACTTAGAAACAAGACTATAGGGAACAATAGAGTAAATTCTACCATTTTTGTAAATACTGGTTACTTACTGGAAAAAAAACATTTGAAAAAAATTAACACCTAGAAATATACAAACCTAGAAAGATACAAAACAATATGAATATTAGCTGTATTTTAAATCGTTACCATAACCTTTCAGTTTTCTGAATGGGGGCTTGAGCTCTGTTGAAAAAGTTCAGTAATTGTAACAAAAGATTTTTTTCTAAGGGTTTGACTTACCTGTGTCTTTATCATTGAAACTCGATCTCTAAATGCTGCAGATGATTGATTGTTCAAGTCACTTGTAAATGTGCTTTGAACAGATCTGAACATCACCATGGTGGTGGTTCCTTTAGTTGTTGGAGCAGGTGTCGTTGTTGCCTCAGTTGTTGGAGCAGGTGTCATTGTTGCTTCAGTTGTTGTCGGGGTAGGTGTCGTTGTTTCCTCAGTTGTTGGAGCAGGTGTCGTTGACTCAGTTGTTGTTGGGGCAGTTGTCGTTGTTGCCTCAGTTGTTGGAGCAGGTGTCGTTGTTGCTTCAGTTGTTGTCGGGGCAGGTGTCGTTGTTTCCTCAGTTGTTGGAGCAGGTGTCGTTGCCTCAGTTGTTGTTGGGGCAGGTGTCGTTGTTGCCTCAGTTGTTGGAGCAGGTGTCATTGTTGCTTCAGTTGTTGTCGGGGCAGGTGTCGTTGTTTCCTCAGTTGTTGGAGCAGGTGTCGTTGACTCAGTTGTTGTTGGGGCAGTTGTCGTTGTTGCCTCAGTTGTTGGAGCAGGTGTCGTTGTTGCTTCAGTTGTTGTCGGGGCAGGTGTCGTTGTTTCCTCAGTTGTTGGAGCAGGTGTCGTTGCCTCAGTTGTTGTTGGGGCAGGTGTCGTTGTTGCCTTAGTTGTCGGAGCAGGTGTCGTTGTTGCTTCAGTTGTTGTCGGGGTAGGTGTCGTTGTTTCCTCAGTTGTTGGAGCAGGTATCGTTGCCTCAGTTGTTGTTGGGGCAGGTGTCGTTGTTGCCTCAGTTGTCAGAGCAGGTGTCGTTGTTGCCTCAGTTGTTGGGGCAGGTGTCGTTGTTGCCTCAGTTGTTGGAGCAGGTGTCATTGTTGCTTCAGTTGTTGTCGGGGCAGGTGTCGTTGTTTCCTCAGTTGTTGGAGCAGGTGTCGTTGACTCAGTTGTTGTTGGGGCAGTTGTCGTTGTTGCCTCAGTTGTTGGAGCAGGTGTCGTTGTTGCTTCAGTTGTTGTCGGGGCAGGTGTCGTTGTTTCCTCAGTTGTTGGAGCAGGTGTCGTCGCCTCAGTTGTTGTTGGGGCAGGTGTCGTTGTTGCCTCAGTTGTCGGAGCAGGTGTCGTTGTTGCTTCAGTTGTTGTCGGGGTAGGTGTCGTTGTTTCCTCAGTTGTTGGAGCAGGTATTGTTGTTGCCTCAGTTGTTGGAGCAGGTGTTGTTGCTTCAGTTGTTGTCGGAGCAGGTGTTGTTGCTTTAGTTGTTGGAGCAGGTGTCGTGGTTGCTTCAGTTGTTGGATCAGGTGTCGTTGTTGACTCAGTTGTTGGAGCAGGTGTTGTTGCTTCAGTTGTTGGAGCAGGTATCGTTTCTTCAGTTGTTGGATCAGGTGTTGTTGTTGCCTCAGTTGTTGGAGCAGGTGTTGTTTCTTCAGTTGTTGGATCAGGTGTCGTTGTTGCTCCAGTTGTTGGATCAGGTGTCGTTGTTTCTTCAGTTGTTGGATCAGGTGTCGTTGTTGACTCAGTTGTCGGAGCACGCGTTGTTGTTTTTGCAGTTGTCGGAGCACGCGTTGTTGTTTTTGCTGTTGTCGGAGCACGCGTTGTTGTTTTTGCTGTTGTCGGAGCACGTGTTGTTTTTTTTGCTGTTGTTGTCGGAGCACGTGTTGTTTTTTTTGTAGTTTTTGTCGGAGCACGTGTTGTTTTTTTTGTAGTTGTCGGAGCACGGGTTGTTGTTTTTGCAATTGTTGTCGGAGCACGTGTTGTTTCCTCAGTTGTTGGAGCAGGTGTCGTTGCCTCAGTTGTTGTTGGGGCAGGTGTCGTTGTTGCCTCAGTTGTCAGAGCAGGTGTTGTTATTGCCTCAGTTGTTGGAGCAGGTGTCGTGGTTGACTCAGTTGTTGGAGCAGGTGTCGTTGTTGCCTCAGTTGTTGGAGCAGGTGTCGTTGTTGCCTCAGATGTGGGAGCAGGTAGATCAGAATATAGGGTGCCATTCACTTTGATTGAGCTACTTTCAATGTCGAAGCCAGTGACATTTAAACTATCATTGATCAAAACCCTCCCAATCTCAAAATTATTAGGAACAGATGTGCTTGCAAAGAGAAGGTTCACGTCATTGATGACTGATCCATTTCTGCAGATGGAGAAACAAAATATCTTTGAAATATCACATTTTGGTCACTACTCTTAAAATTTAACATGATAAGTCTTAACAAATTACCTGAATGACACCACGTCCAAGGACAAGAAGGAGGAAGGGAAAGCCGTGTGGAACACAGGTTCAAGCTGCAGAAACAGAAAACAAATCGTACTTCAACACATTTCACATATATGTTTGCCCAAGTTGTACAGTGAGCTGGAGGTGTAGTTTAGTTATCTTCGCTCTTTATTTCATGTAATAATTACTATTATTATTCTGCAGCAGCAGCAGCACTTATGTACCTGTATTTTCATCAGGAAATGCAAATATTCCAGTTTATCATTATATTTCCTTATTTTACAGTTTTTTCTTTTTCTTTTGTTTTCTGTACTTTCTTTAGTGCATAAATATAACTGTGTCCAGGAGACCGACAGACAGGAGGAAAACTAATGATGAGAACCACCACAGGATTAAAAAAATAATAGATGACCTATAAATTTTTTGCAGTAACATTAAGTGTCTTCACGTGTATTTCTGGGCAGTGTGCACATTTTTTCAACTGGTATGCGATTCCTTTCTATGTGGGGAATTTCTGCTTGGGGAATTGACCATTCACTAGCTGTGTTTCAATTCTACGTACTGTATGTTTTATTGTATACAGTACAAGTATTGAAGTTAAGCATGCCTTAATGCTTATTTTTGAAGGTTATTGATACTTTATGAAACTTAGCTCTAATCTAATTCTGCTGTCTGAATGAAGTTTTAACAAACAATTTACTTAGAAACAAGACTATAGGGAACAATAGAGTAAATTCTACCCTTTTTTTAAATACTGGTTACTTACTGGAAAAAAAACATTTGAAAAAAATTAACACCTAGAAATATACAAACCTAGAAAGATACAAAAATAAAGTAATATGAGTATTAGCTGTATTTTAAATCGTTACCATAACCTTTCAGTTCTCTGAATGGGGGCTTGAGCTCTGTTGAAAAAGTTCAGTAATTGTAACAAAAGATTTTATTCTAAGGGTTTGACTTACCTGTGTCTTTATCATTGAAACTCGATCTCTAAATGCTGCAGATGATTGATTGTTCAAGTCACTTGTAAATGTGCTTTGAACAGATCTGAACATCACCATGGTGGTGGTTCCTTTAGTTGTTGGAGCAGGTGTCGTTGTTGCCTCAGTTGTTGGAGCAGGTGTCATTGTTGCTTCAGTTGTTGTCGGGGCAGGTGTCGTTGTTTCCTCAGTTGTTGGAGCAGGTGTCGTTGACTCAGTTGTTGTTGGGGCAGTTGTCGTTGTTGCCTCAGTTGTTGGAGCAGGTGTCGTTGTTGCTTCAGTTGTTGTCGGGGCAGGTGTCGTTGTTTCCTCAGTTGTTGGAGCAGGTGTTGTTGCCTCAGTTGTTGTTGGGGCAGGTGTCGTTGTTGCCTCAGTTGTCAGAGTAGGTGTCGTTGTTGCCTCAGTTGTTGGAGCAGGTGTTGTTGTTGCCTCAGTTGTTGGAGCAGGTGTTGTTGCTTCAGTTGTTGTCGGAGCAGGTGTTTTTGCTTCAGTTGTTGTCGGAGCAGGTGTTGTTGCTTCAGTTGTTGGAGCAGGTGTCGTGGTTGCTTCAGTTGTTGGAGCAGGTGTCGTGGTTGACTCAGTTGTTGGAGCAGGTGTCGTGGTTGACTCAGTTGTCGGAGCAGGTGTCGTTGTTGCTTCAGTTGTCGGGGCAGGTGTCGTTGTTTCCTCAGTTGTCGGATCAGGTGTTGTTGTTGGAGCAGGTGTCATGGTTGCTTCAGTTGTTGGATCAGGTGTCGTTGTTGCTTCAGTTGTTGGATCAGGTGTCGTTGACTCAGTTGTTGGAGCAGGTGTTGTTGCTTCAGTTGTTGGAGCAGGTATCGTTTCTTCAGTTGTTGGATCAGGTGTTGTTGTTGGAGCAGGTGTTGTTTCTTCAGTTGTTGGATCAGGTGTCGTTGTTTCCTCAGTTGTTGGAGCAGGTGTTGTTGACTCAGTTGTTGTTGGGGCAGGTGTCGTTGTTGCCTCAGTTGTTGGAGCAGGTGTCGTTGTTGCTTCAGTTGTTGTCGGGGCAGGTGTCGTTGTTTCCTCAGTTGTTGGAGCAGGTGTCGTTGCCTCAGTTGTTGTTGGGGCAGGTGTCGTTGTTGCCTCAGTTGTCGGAGCAGGTGTCGTTGTTGCCTCAGTTGTTGGAGCAGGTGTTGTTGTTGCCTCAGTTGTTGGAGCAGGTGTTGTTTCTTCAGTTGTTGGAGCAGGTGTCGTGGTTGCCTCAGTTGTTGGAGCAGGTGTTGTTGTTGCCTCAGTTGTTGGAGCAGGTATTGTTGTTGCCTCAGTTGTTGGAGCAGGTGTTGTTGCTTCAGTTGTTGTCGGAGCAGGTGTTGTTGCTTCAGTTGTTGGAGCAGGTGTCGTGGTTGCTTCAGTTGTTGGATCAGGTGTCGTTGTTGACTCAGTTGTTGGAGCAGGTGTTGTTGCTTCAGTTGTTGGAGCAGGTATCGTTTCTTCAGTTGTTGGAGCAGGTGTCGTGGTTGCTTCAGTTGTTGGATCAGGTGTCGTTGTTGACTCAGTTGTTGGAGCAGGTATCGTTTCTTCAGTTGTTGGATCAGGTGTTGTTGTTGCCTCAGTTGTTGGATCAGGTGTCGTCGTTTCTTCAGTTGTTGGATCAGGTGTCGTTGTTGCTCCAGTTGTTGGATCAGGTGTCGTCGTTTCTTCAGTTGTTGGATCAGGTGTCGTTGTTGACTCAGTTGTTGGAGCAGGTGTCGTTGTTGGAGCATGCGTTGTTCTTTTTGCAGTTGTCGGAGCACGTGTTGTTGTTTTTGCAGTTGTCGGAGCACGTGTTGTTGTTTTTGCAGTTGTCGGAGCACGTGTTGTTTTTTTTGCTGTTGTTGTCGGAGCACGTGTTGTTTTTTTTGTAGTTGTCGGAGCACGGGTTGTTGTTTTTGCAGTTGTTGGAGCACGGGTTGTTGTTTTTGCAATTGTTGTCGGAGCACGGGTTGTTGTTTTTGCAATTGTTGTCGGAGCACGTGTTGTTTTTGCAGTTGTTGGAGCAGGTGTCGTGGTTTTTGACACTGTTGTTGCTGCAGTTGTTTTTGTTGTTGGAGCAGGTGTCTTTGTTGAAGTAGCAGGTGTCTGTGTTGACACAGTGGTTGATGTCGAAGCAGGT